GGGGGGGGCATCAAGGGGCCCGGCTTACGGTGGAGGCGGTTGCAGCCGTTGAGGCGGCAACCACCACAACCGCCACTTCCACGACCACCACCTGCTGCAACCGTCACAACAGCCATACACATAACCACATCCAGGATTCATCAGCAGTAGCAGCGGCTGTAGCAGAAGGTGTTGTTGCTGCAGCGGCAACGGTTGGGGACTCCGAGGGGCCGTACGGAACGGCGAGGTCGTCCAACCCCACCAGTACAGCCATTGCCAGCAGTGGTGCCGGCAGTAGCGATAACATAGGCGGCAGCAGCACTACGAGCAGCGCCATTGCCGTTACCTGGAGCACGACTACCACTGCTGTTGCTGCTGTTGCTGCTGCTACTGCCCCTCTCAGCAGTGCGAGTATCAGCAGTACTAGCGATGTGGGTTCACTGGAGTCAGGGGGGTGGTCGACCGGCAGTAGCACCACCACCAACAACAACAACAACGGCAGTAGCAGCAGCAGGAGCAGCCACAACAGCAGTCGCTTGGGGTAAGTCAGTGAGAAGTGGGCGATGAGGGGGCGGGAGAGAGTTAATGCCGGCGTCCGGGGGATTGGGGACCCGGGAAAGGAAGTGGTATGAATATGTTATATATGTATGTATGCATGTATGTATGTATCTATGCTGGCATCCAAAGACACAAACATCTGCCGTACGAAATTTAAAAGGGTGACGGAGAGTACGGCACTCCAGGCAACCGGAAAGGGCGCGCAGGCCGCCACTGCCACTGCTACTGCCACCACCTCCTCAGTCTGGCCGCCCGGAATAACGGTGTGACGTTGGAAGTTCTCCCGGCCCCGCACATATATACATACACACGCAACCTCCCAATTGTAATAACTGTATGCAGGTCGTTGGGCGGTATTGGCACCAGCAACAATAACAGCGTCAGCACCGCCACCGGCGCCACCTCGGCGTCTGACAGCTTCAACAGCAGTTGCGGTGGGGCCAGTAGCAGAATGAGTGCCCCCCCCTTGGGCCCCCCCGCCACGATGACGGGGGCCGCCCCGGGTTGCTGCCACGGGGAGCCCCTGGACCACCATTGCGTGCCGACACAGGTGTGTATGTGTGTGTGTGTGTGTGTGTGTGTTTGGGCGCATGGGTGTGTTCGGGCGGCTTTTTGGGTGGGGAGTACTTACGTGTATGACGTGTACGGCTGTGCGTGTATGGGTATCGGGGGGAAGAGACTGGGAAAGGGGTGGTGGGGCACGACACAACGACACGACACGTCGCTCTCGAGGCTATCCCGGAGGCGCAGAGGTGGGGGGAAAGGGGGAGATACAACCCATCTGCCGGGAACCTGTGTACAGTCCCCCTCACCTCCCCCCGCTGCCTCTCCCCCCTCGCCCCTCGCCCCTCCCCCCTCCCTCCTCGCCCCTCGCCCCTCCCCCCTCCCATTCAGGTCCAGGCCCTGGTGTTTGACGAACTCCGCTTCACGCACATGTTCCGTCTGGTGCGCTACAGCCTCGACAAGAGGGTTCACAGACCCGGGTGTGTGCGGGTGACCCCGCCCGACCTCACTGCCTTCATGAAGCCGGCGTATGCTACAGCTACTGCGGGGGGCGGAGGGGGAGGGGGAGGGGAAGGGGGGACATGTGGCGGTTCGGGGAGGGGAGGTACGGAAACAGCCGTAGCTCAGACCAGGCCCAGCGACGATTCTACCATTGCGCCGTCGGGCACCGACGCTGCGGCAGTAGCAGTACCAGCAGCAGTAGCAGTAGATGGTGCAGTACCAGCAGTAGCGCTGGCAGCTGTAACCACTAACCCCCCCACTGCCCCAACCTGCGACACCTCCTCCAGCGGTGACGGGGCCCCGGCCGCCGCTAGCAGCAACCCTCGTCCCACAACTCTGGGGAATGACGGCAGTAGCAGTGGCAGCGGCAGCAGCTGCGACTATTGTCATGCCGACCTGACTGGTAGCGGTGGTGGTGGTGCTGCCGGTGGTGGTGATGTGGGCCGTACTGATGAGATGGCGGCGGAGAAACTGACCATGGCTCTGCTGCTCATGATGACGGGGGGGCAGGAGGGGGCCCAGGAGGAGGAGGGGGGGGAGGGGAGGGGAAAAGGCGATACCCCAACCTCCATTACCACCAACGCTGCAGTAACAGTAACAGCACCGGCTGTGCGGGTGTGCGGTCGCCCCCAATGCCTCAAGTGCCGACGGAAGCGACGGACCGCTATAGCTGCTGCTGCTGGTGCTGCTGCTGGTGCTGCTGGTGGTGCGGTGGATGAGTTGGTGTTTCTTCGTGAGCGATGGCAGCAGCTGATGCGGATGGTGCCGCTGGGGCTGTTTTCCTCGGCACCTGTACTGCAGGATGAGGTGTCGTATTTGAGGCTGCAGCTGTCGAAAATCCGTTTGGGTGACGGCGGTGCTAGGTAGGTATGGTGATGGTGAGGTGTGGGGCTGTAGCGCAGTAGCCGCTCCTCGGTGGGGCAGTAGCAGTGTGCCGTACTCAATGTGAGTCCACGTATACTGCTAGCAGTACAAACAAACAAATTTACTGCATGTCGTACGTGATTAGCCGGTGTGTCAAGCAGACGGACAGGCAGACAGGCAGGTAGGCAGACGGAGAGACATACATACATACACGTATGTGTATGTATGCAATCAGGAGCTCCTGATGATGAGAGGGATGTGATGCTGAAAACCGGCGATGATGGGGTGGGATGATTCAGCCAGGAGTTGAGGTATTGCTGCCTTTTTTATTCCGTTATCGACTGCCCTGACGAACTAGCCGTAATTGGCCCTCATTGACGGCGGTGGTTTCGCAGAATATTTATTGTTCTATATGTCCGTTGTTAACTTGTGAGTGGCTGGGGGATGTGTGTACGGCGCGTGTGTATTGGGGGGCCCGGTATGGGCGGGAAGGTTGGGTCGCCTCTGCATTAGGTCGCCTCTGCAAACGGCGCCAAGTGCATGTATGTATGTATGTATGTATGTTTGTATGTATGTATGTATGTATGCATGTATGTATGTATGCATGTATTCCATTCGCCCACGTACCGCCTCCTTTCCCGCGTGTGCGTGGTCTTATCGCAAGCGTATCGGTGGGTACGGCACTGAACATTTCCGAAGTGCCAGGTTCTGTGATATGTGCAGGTATGTATGCATGTGCTCGTGCGCCCTGTAATGTATTTATAAACGGCTTGCCCGCAGTTGGGACGTTGAGTAATGAATGAATATGGTGGTCAAGTAGAGCTAAAATGCCTGTTTTAAAATTTTGGTCGCTGTGGCTGAGGACGCTGGTGAGGATGGTGGCGATGGTGATGATGGTGATGACCTGAGGTAGGAGGGAGAGGGGCATGTAGCGCCGTCATCAGGCCCAGCTGTGCGTGACGAGCTGAAGGATAAATGCGGGTAGCGATAGCGGTGCGGTGCTAGATAAAGGGTGATTATGATGACGATGTCGTACGATTGTACGACTACATCCGACGCGTCTTCGGAAGATGTTTTGTATTATGAGCGGCGGGGTCCTAAATAGTGTTTTTTTTGCCGTGATCTCTGTCCCATGCGAGCGGTGGGTCAGGTGCGACCCGGGGGTCGGTCGGTGATGCAATACGTTCCACCTGTGTCGTACCAGTTGGTGAACTTTACGTTGCAAGTCGGTGGGGCCGTTATGTATATGGCCACTTGAGAGTCGGAGTGGGTAGTGCTTTGTGGAAGGCGTAGCAACTAGCAGATGTACATATGAAATAGAGAGAAGTGCACACCGAGATGTGGGCGGGTAGGTTCACTTTGTGTATACGCACATACGTTGTAATTGCTGGATCCGAACGATCGTCAATTACTGGTTGGTTGACGGGACGTCAACAGTAGTCAATCCGCAAGAAGCCTGCAAAAGTTCTCAACGAGAGAGGTGTGCTTGCGGGAGGAAGAAGGATGCCAGCTTGTCCACAAGGAAGGGGTTTGAGCAGCGCTGGAAACGTCGCTGTGAGGCGGCTGGAACGATGTGGTTTGCTATGGGAAGGGCTGCCGGTCCTGTCCTAAGTATGCGGGTACTGTCGACGCGCAAAAACGTCATGATAAAGAGAAACAGTTAAATATCGCCAGCCTGGCTGAGTGAAGGATTGGAAGGGATTGGTGGAGCCATGGACCACACCCTTTTGGATTGATTGTAACATGCTTAGCACAATACTGCATTTGAGCGGACAAATTGTAGGTTTATGATCTAGCTGATGGTACCTTTCCGCAGCAGCATACTGGTAGTTCGTACGAGTGGTAACCACCAAATTAAGCTTGCGCCGGCAGAATGAGCCGACTACCGACTGGAAAATCGGTATGATGTCGTTACTCTTACTGTATGTGCAATAATGGCATCTATGTATAAATCATTAGCTGCATAGCTCTTTCAAGTTACTCTTGGCATGGTCTTTATGGTGGTTGGTTCCTCTTCCTCAAACGTCCTTGGCAACGCAAGCTCTGCTAAGTTAATATCAGCACAAAGGAGACGCGGACCTTTGTCACTGCGTACTCGATCTCTCCTAACGCACCAGCACGCGATAAGGTCTACTGCCTCGCCTGGGAACTCACACTGCCCAAGTTACGCGATTGCCTCACTCTTCCAGCGATTACCTCATCATCGTCAAAATCAACACCATCGGCATCCTCATCACGGCAAATACAGGCCCGCCCTCGCAGCAGCCAGCACCATGACCAGCAGCGGCCCCGCTCCCCTCCTCCTTCCACGGCGGCCCCTTGGCTCTACAGGCCTGGAAATTTCCGTACTTGGTTTTGGAGCTTCCCCTTTGGGTGGCGTGTTCGGGGTAAGGCACCCGCTTGGACTAATTGTCGTAATTGGTTGGTTAGATGGTTGTTCCATAGCGGCCTTATAGTATCATTAGTCCGCAGCACATCCACATTAAAAAACCGCCAACTGTGGATAGCTAATCATGGGCACAGCTGCGAGCTTTAGGGTGGAGCCTTTCGGTGTGAGGCCGTTTGAGCGGTTCGAGGTTGGGGGTCGCGGCCGCACCGCACCCATAAAGCCCACGCTCAGTGCCTCTGTGTGTACGGCAATCTTGCCTTCCTTCTTCCCCCTCCCTCCCCTTAGGGCCCCCCGGGGGGAAATCCGCGCTTGGGTCCTCCCTCTTCGTCCCCTCCTCCCTACATCCCCTTAACCCCGCACAACCATACACATACACACACACACCCTTCCACACCCTCCCACGTCCTTCAGGATATCGACGAATCCGCTGCGATCGATACCGTACACCACGCCGTCCGACGCGGGATTAACTTCTTCGACACCTCGCCGTACTACGGACTGACCAAGTCTGAGACGGTGAGGATGGGGCTGCTCTGAAGGGGGTGTCGTACGCAGGGGTGTCGTACATAGGAAACACCGAGTAGTTGGGTGTCTACCTGCGCTGTAGGGGGAGCTGGGGGCCCATGTGCTGGCGTTAGGCGGACCCGCGCTGGTTGCGTATGTATGTCCAAATGGGTCGGAGGGACGCGAGGTGAAGTTCTCGGGTTATGAGGGACCGCAACATGGGGTGGGACGGAACATGGGGTGGGACGGAACATGGGGTGGGACGGAACATGGGGTGGGACGGAACATGCAGCTCCTTCGCCTTCCTGACCGTCCTCAGGGCATAGCAGCGCCCTGCGACTGCTACTGCTACTATTGCCACTGCTACTGCTCACCCCAGGGGTAGGCAAGGGCTGCGTCATCGGGCCCGCACTCGGGCACTCTCCTCACTTTACACACCGCACTCTGGCTCCCTGTACAGTTGCCCGCCGCACAGGCCGGGCCGGGTGGGGCCCGGTGGGGCCAGCTCTTGAGCGCTTCCCGTAGGAGCCCCGAACCGCACCCATCCCACATTCCGGAGGGGGAGAAGCGCTACCCGCCGTTATTAAGCACTAGCACCATCATGACCCTCACCACCCTCATCACCACCCTCACCCTCACCATGTCGCTAGTTGATATTATCACGTCCTACACCGTCCATATGATGGGGGACCACCTCCCATTTCAACGCCCCTCACACACCCGAGGGGTCGGCAGGCGGATTTGAACCCGGACACTCCGGGAGCAGAAGTTAGCTCTTATGTTGTTACAGGGTGGTTAACTTCGCCAGCGGCCCCCTTTCCCGGGGCAGTCCCTGCTCTCCCCTGCTAGAGGGGCACCCTAATCCGTCACCCCATCCGACTTCAGAATGTATTCGTTGGGTTCGGCAACTCACCACCAGCATCAAACCAAATCTAGCGGATCAACGGCGCATCAACTTAGTTCCTGGTCAGCTCGCAAGTTGATTTTATCACGTCCTACATCGTCCATATAATGGGGGGCCACCTCCCATTTCAACACTCCTGAAACACCCGAGGAGCCGGCAAGCGGATTTGAACCCGGGTCGGCCGGGAGCAGAAGTCAGGCCTTAACCTCTGCCAGATGCCTGCCTGTATGTATGTGTGTGTGGTGTGGTGATGGGGGAGGTGAAGGTGTACTGAGCGGGGAGCAGAAGTTAGCTCTTAACTTCTGCCAGCCACCTGCCTGTATGTATGTATGTGTGAAACAGGGGGGTGTATCTTCGCCCGTGGCAGCTACCCTGCGAAACCCTGCCTTCCCCGGTATTTCGGGGCACCCTCATCCAGTCACCCTAGTTAACTTCTCAGTGGATCGCTCAGGTTCCGCACCCACCACCAGCATCCAACGGAATCTGCCGGGTCGACAGCGGCCCAACTCCATTCCTGGTCGGCTCGCAGGTTAACTTTATCCCAGGTCACCACAGTCCATCAACTAGGGGCGCAATGCCTTCCACCCTATCGGGTATCGATCCCGGGATCTCCCGGGGGCAATGGTCGCGCCTTACCAGTGGTGCCAAACCCTTATATGTATGTATGTATGTATGCTGTTCCCTGTCCATTTTTCCCCTTCAAGGAAAAGGTTAATTCAGCCCAAGTCGGGGGTCCCTCGACTCTCCGTCGCCTCAGGTACTGGGTCGGGCGCTCCGAGACCTACCCCGTTCCGATGTCGTACTTTCCACCAAGGTTGGCCGGTACGGCAGCGGCAGCGACCCAGCAGACTTTGACTTCAGTGCACAGCGCGTAACCACCAGTGTGGCGGAGTCGTTGGAGCGGCTGCAAGTGTCGTACCTAGATGTCGTACATTGCCATGACATTGAGTTTGGGGACCTTGACCAGGTGGGTGACGGGTGTGCTGATGCGTGTGTGTTTGTGTACGGAACGTGTCAAACCCTAGAAGAAAACCCCTTCTTCTTCCCTCTGTTCTCCGGGGAAGATGGAAGTTCGACAATGCAGCGGGTGCGCGCTGGCCCATGGATGGAGCTGTACGGGCTGTACGGCGGGGAGGGGCCGTTCCTTGTGTTTCATAGGCCGGGGAGCAAGGGCGAAGGGAGTCGAGGAGAGGGGGGAACTGTTACAAGGCAGGTAGGGGAAGGGGGGACGAGGGGGGAGGGGGGAGGGGGGAGGGGAACTGGGTGATTGGGGGGTATGGAGGGTAGCGCCAGGTAGGGTTTCAGGGGTCTGAGGACAATATCGGGAAGGGCAAGAGGAGGGTTACATGTTGGGGGGGGGGAAAAGAGGGGGAGCCGCCATATAAGCCCCACTACAACGCCACTACAACCCCACTACAACCCCACTACAACAACACTACAACCCCACTACAACGCCACTACAAGCCCACTACAATGCCACTACAACCCTACTACAACGCCACTACAAGCCCACTACGCCACTCACACTTCCCCCTCCCTCCACCATCTCCTCTCACGAAACACACACACACACAGATCGTCAACGAGACGCTCCCCGCCTTGGCCCAGCTTCGGTCCCGGGGTATTGTACGACATGTGGGTATCAGTGGTCTCCCCCTGGAGTCATTCCATTACGTACTGGACAGGGCGCCGCCAGGTAGGTAGGGGGCTGGATCTGGATTCCGATTCGGATTCCGATTTGGGCCGCTGAGGGGAAAAGTGTAAACTGCACGGCGTACATGTGTGCCAGTATGCGTGTATGTATATGTACATGTATGCATGTACGTATGTACGTATGTTTTGGTTGTGTGTGTAATGTTGTGTCGCACCTGCACGTGCACGGGCGTGAGGGGGTACGCTCGGGGGGTACGCAGCGGCACAGAGGACGAACATACACACGTACACACATATCACCAAAGATAACTACTTGGGAGGAGGCGGGGGGTTGTGAAAGGCCCCTGCTTTCCAGTACACATATCATCATACCCCCACCCCGACTCCCCTATCTTACCCTTGTCGTTCATGTACTGCGGCCGTCTCCTCCCCCGAAGTATTTCTTCTCCCCCTCCAAGCCTCCCTCTCTCCGTTCCTCATCCCCTTGGTAACCAAACAGGCTCCGTGGATGTCGTACTGTCGTACTGCCATTACTGCCTGAACGACACCACGCTCCTGGGCAGCCTGCCGTATTTCCGCTCCAAGGGTGTTGGTGTCATCAACGCCTCCCCCCTATCCATGGGTTTGCTGACGCGGCAAGGCCCCCCCTCCTGGCACCCCGCACCCCCCCAATTGAGAAAGAGGGTGGAGGCGGCCGCCGTACATGCCGCGCAACGTGGCTGGGACATCGCAGAATTGGGGCTGGGTTTCGCAGTCAGGTGATGAGAGGGGGAGTGAGTGGGCCCGGGGAGTTAAGAGGAAATTCAAAAACACGTTTGGGTTTTGGGTTTCTCTGGTACTCGCCTCCTTCTCCCCTCTCCCCTCTCCCCCACCCCGCTCCCCGCTCCCCTCTCCCCGCTCCCCGCTCCTCTTGCACAATGTAGGTAAGTCTGCAACCCAGTTGTACCACTGCTGCTTTACGTTGCTTCCAAAGTTGAGACGCCGCCGTACGACACACTCAACGCGCATCACTGGTTGAGTTAGTGACCAAGTAGCCTGATCTGACCAGGTTAACTCGTTGTACGAGATGTACGACAATTAGGACATCCTTTCAGCAGGAAAATACAACTCATCTGCATTACCCTGGAAGTCAAGGGCCTCAACGACAATATCACGAGACCCGACAACACAAAAACATCTCGGATAACGTTTTACGTCCGGAACCACGGGTCGGTGACTTCATCGCTTAGGACTCACTAGGCAGTTTTAAACTTTGGACGGTCGCGTTTACTTCCTCTTGTTTCCTTGCATGTGTTCCCGTGCCCCGCCCCTCCC